CTGAGAGGAAACCAGGGGAGAGAGGAGCATGAAGCATACGTGGCAAGCCAGAGATGTTTGGGATAATTGCAGATTTGGGGAAGAGGTGGCTGGCCTGAAAATCTGTGCACAGCAGATGAACAGTATCTGAAAGTCATGTCTAAAAGGGAAAAAACAAAGCAGAAAAGACCTGAAACAGGACCTGAGAGATGGATCTGGTGCTTAGTCGATCCATCTACTGTTTACTAAAGCCTGATCACAAACAGTCTCAGTGGAAGGGTGGCTGTAATGAAAGGAACAGGAGGAAAAGGCTGAAATACGTCAAATTACACAAGAACTGGACTGAAAACCAGGAGGTCAGGAGAGAGGTACAACAGTGGAGCTGCATTTCAAGCGAAGGTTTTGGGGATCTTGTCAAAAAGTGATGGAATCGTGAATGCAGAAAAGTGCAGTCAGACTTTGCTCCACCATTCAAAATCATCTGTGAAGTCTCAGATTGGCAACTTCAGTTTTCAGCGTGACAACGATCCCCAACACACTGCTAATGTAATAAAAGCAAACGTGGAGAGAAAAACACATCAGTCATCGATTGGCCTCCGCAGAGCACAGACCTTAACATTATTGAAGCAGTGCGGGGTCATTTTGACAGGGAGCAGAACAAAGAAGAACTCTGAATGTCCTTTAGAAGCCTGAAGTCTACTTACAGAAATGGGCAGACAACTCACCCAAGTGATTTCAGGCTGCTTTGAAGATCGAACAAATACTGACTTTGAAGCTCATTAGAATTGTTTTTCCCCTTCTATGCTGTACTTCCATGTGTGTTTGCACATGTTTCAATGAATCCGTGCACCCACTTTCCTACCCAAATATAAAGATATGAGTGGTGGCTCAAGACTTTTGCACAAAACTGGATCTGTACAGTAAGAAGGACATAGAATTGTGACAGAAATAGTAAATGCAAAAGGAAAAGAAAATACCCACAAGTCAGGTTTAGCATTTCCGCACCAACACAGAGGAACTCTTGTCTGACCAAGTCCCTGCTAATGCTTTAAGCAAATATAACCAAAAATGGGTTTTTGACACAACATTTTTCTAACATCCATGCAGCAGTCCTCTGAGGACTTAGCTCTGCATAGTAAAACTTGTCCACTAGAAAAGTCTGAGTACGGTCTGATTGCAAAAGAATCATCTGAACGGGATCCGATCCAACCTGCAGCCACGAAACTGCCAAGATCCCAAGCCGAGCAGATCCCTGACCAATCCCAGCAGGAATGCGATCAGCCTAAGATAAAAGAGCAGTGGAACATCCACAGCAGAGGTTTTATAAGATGAGACATTCCTGAGAAAGGAGGCCCTGCCTGTCGAGGAAGATCTGAAAAGGGAGATTGTAGTTTGTAAGCCAGTTTATGATGGTGTGCTCTGTGAGAAATACAAAACAGGAGAAAGTGGGTAAAATATGCATGTAACAGAAAGAGCACAAGAGGGGGGAAATAATCCTGTTTTTTGGCAGGAAGAACACAATAAGGGAGGGATATTCCCATGTGTGAGGCATCAGCTTGGCAGGAAAACACTGCCCCCCTGTGTTTCAACTGTAAATAGCAAGTACAGCCAATGTGTTTCTTAAACGGAAGGATTTTTGATTAAAGGGTCAAGTAGCTTCACAGGAAGTACTTATCAAAGGAAAAAGCGCACCAGCTCTATTCAGTGATTAGTCAAGGTGTTGCAAAAGTTAGACATTTCTATCAGAAGCTCCCTTTAAAAAAAAAAATCCTTCTCACTCATTCAGTGCAAAAATATAAATACCATCCCAGAAAGTGTGTGTGGATCATGAGCATTTTGGGCTCTAAAAATAGGATCTGCTACCCACAAGAAGAATTTACATAAACATATTTTCCCTCCCTATTAGAAATAGAGATATCTTAGAAATATAAATCAAGCTGAACACAGTCTGTCAAGTGTTTAACTGCATAAATCACTTACTCCTTTGTTTTGTTATTAACAAACTAATATGTCAAAATAAATAGATACTTGGTCAGAAACACTAATAAATAAGTTAACGGCATTTACTGGAGTGAGTGTCGAGAAATACCTCGTATTTAAACGTTGTGTCAAGGAAAAGCTCCAGCAGCATCCTCTTGCCCAGTTCTTGGCTGGCCTGGTCACTCACAAAGTGGAGAACCAACACCTCTCCTTCCAAGAAGTGTCCGTGTTTCACCATGGACAGCATGGCCACTCGGAATTTATCCTGCAAGCTCCGGCTCTTGTCCACTTTGGTGAACATCATTAGCACGTGGTAATGTTGGTAACCAGCCTCACTGTCCGCTTTCCTGGACGTCAAAGCGTCGCCGTCTTCTTCTACACCTCGCTCTTCCCATCCTTGCTCCTTTGGCTCGTCCGGGTGCGAGAGCCTGGTGTCCACGGTGAGGTCTGCATCGTTTCTGTTGGTGTTGTGACTGGCCTGGGTCTGCTTGATCCTCTTTGTGGTGCTGGAGAAATTCTGCCTCTCTGAGCCAAAGTAGTAAAAAGCTACAACAGCGAGTGCAGCAGCCAGGAGAAGCACCAGCTGATAGGACCTGAATGTACTGATCCTACCCATGACTCTGGCTACTACCCTTAAGAAGCCCATAACTCCCTGCTGGCGTCATGAGAACGGGAGCGTGAGTGGGAAGATTTTCAGCATTTCATGATCTTTGATTTCATAGATTTTCCACATTCTCCTGCAAGAGTAACAAAAACAAACATCTGCTTTAGTTTTAAGCTTTGGCGTGGACCATGAAACTAAATATCACCTATCAGCCAAATCTAAGTGAAGCATTAAGATTGATGATCTATTCTGGCTAAGCCATTAAAAGATCTTATTTCCATGGTCTTATAAATTCATCTTTGAATGTTTTTCCTTTTAATTTAATTCAATTTTTAATTATATAGCACCAAATCACAACAACAGTCGCCTCAAGGCGCTTGAGCACTGCTATTCCAATCCTGGGATATGCAGCAAAATCCAGAGTAGAGTCGTGTTGGGCGGCATTATTATATTTCAATAATATTAGCCCCCTGAAAAACTGACCATACCACAAACCACTGTTGTGCTTTAACTTTGTAATGCTCAAACTGAGGCTTGTCTTTCAATGTGACACAACAGTGCTGTCAGTTGAGAAAGCATCACGCCAAAAACAAACAAAATCAGTTTATAATTTAGAAAAAGAATTGTTTATGCCCACAAAGCAGGAGATGGATACACAAAGTTATGACAGTGTTTTCAACTGCGAAGAAACAGAAAAGTGAGAAGTTGCATCAAAAAATTCAAAGAGAGTCACGGAGTACAGAACAAGCCTGGCAGCCTGTGAAAGGTTTCAAAGACTCTGGAAAGAAAACAAGTGAGAGATGTGTCTAAAGACCCCAGAACAACTGCCAAGGCACGAGTGAATGACTTAGCCAAGTTGGGAATTGTATTCTCAAAGAAGAAAATCAGCAGAACCCTGCAAAGGAATTGGACTGCATGGTTGAAGATTAAGAAAAACTTGACTTCGGATGAACAGATATCCTTAAGACAGACTGAAGTGTACTAAGAATAACCCGAAGAAAGATTATGCATAGTAGAAGCGTGTCAGGTGAGAAGAAACTAGAGCACCGAAGTAAACATTACAGGCTGGTCTGCACAAAGCCTGTGGGTTGAACTGAAGACCAAAGTCCATGCCAAAAGACCATCAAAATCTAGAAACTCACCAAAGAGAAGAATAGGCTGGGATTGTTGAAAACTACAACACACTATTACCACCAAAAAAAAGACTATTATCATCAAAGGAGCTATTAATTTTGACCCCGGTAGTTGTTTGTTAAAGTAAGATCATGTAGACATCCCAAATAAAACTAGGGTGCTTGGAAAATCTGCTAAACATTCCTTGTCCTGTTTAACAGCACTTAGGAAATACTTAAAAAGGCAAAATCTTTCATATAGGGGCTAGTAATTGTGTGCTCATCTATGCGAGTGTCTTGATTTTAACATGTTATTCTTTGGATCAGTGCATTACATAAAGAAAATAAATCAAATTAAATATTGTTGTTGGGCAAACAGTGATTATATTCAATGTAAACACCAACTCTAACTCCAATGATACAAAATAAAACACAGAAGTGCATCCACTTGCCTGTCTCATGTTCTTGATCTCTGTGGTTCAACCATATCAGCTTATCCAGGGAGTAAGCTGTCCTGAGATCTCCTCGGTTTAAGTGGCAGCTTCTGTCTCATTTACTAAATTGCCTCCTCACGTTTTGAAAGATAAAACTAAGACTAACACTACGGAAACCTGTTGACATCCCGCCTAAAACGGGTGCTAAGCTAGCCAGCAACGTGCCTAGATGTGGGTCGTTGAGTAGCCACTACAGCGATGATTTTTCAGCACACAAATCAAGAGAATTAATCAGGGTTTGCTTGTTAAAATTTTCGCTGTATATGCGCAAATCGCTGTCGCCTGAAAACGATTTGTGTATAATAGCATAGTTTAGGGTAAGGAGGTAATAGACTGCACTAACATCAGATGGAGAAGCCACCAGCTAACAGCCTAGCAACAGAATCATGTGACACAACCTTAAACACACCCACCTGGTTTCAGCCGTATTCCGACTCGTGTTGCCTTTAAGTGGTGTAGGAAAAAATAGAGCTATTTACTCTCCAGTGCATTTCTCGTTTCAGCTTTATGAAACACTATTTCGTTTATTTTACAGAACATTAGTCAAGTTTATTTATATATCACATTAAAGCACAACAGACTTTGAGAATTACCTCAAAATGTTTAATTTCGAGATAGGCATCAATACATTTGTGTGCACTACCTTAGATTCCACCTTCAAAACCAAAGTGCCAGGATTTTATTAGTAACACAGTGCAGTCCACTATGATCAATATAATTTTACTCCATCTCTTGAAAAGATCAAACGTACGGCATATATTTTTGACCCTGTGACGACTGTATATGGAGGAAAAATTCTTAAGTACGATTCTACAAACAGTACCTGAAGTATCCAAAGCAACCTCACGACAGTTTGGGCAGTGGCATTGTTGTTCTGTGCTCACTGTTGTAGGGCTGTCCGGAGGAAAAAAAAACCCCAAACAAAAAAAAACAGCCACCATCTATCTTTGGGGAAGATGCTAGCTTTTGTGGTCGCCTGATGTTTTTGTAGTTGTGAACGTTTACAGTTTTTGTCTTTTCTGTTTAAGATTCGGGGACGCTGCTAGCATATAGCTAGCTCGACTATAGCACTCGCGAAAATGAATTCCAACACGCACGTAATCCAGGTGACAAACGTTTCACCGAGTACGACGTCCGAACAAATGAGGACTCTGTTTGGATTCCTCGGAACCATAGAGGAGCTCAAACTGTTCCCGCCCGAGTGAGTATTGTGAATTATGAACTGGTAAATTATCCTCTCCTCCACTATCTATGGCGGCTCACGCGGGGCTCTTGCTGAGGCCTACAGCATCGAGCAGGCCTCGCTGCACGGTAGTGCTAATGCTAATGCTCCCGCGTCTTTATTGAACGTGGCAACGCTTGCTTCTCTCAAATTAGATATGCATGTATTTAACAATACTTCAATTCTTAATCCATACGCATCTGCCGATTATCACATTTGTCGATTAAGCAATCAAAAAATTGGTAATCGTTTGTGTAAGTCGGTTATCTAACACATACACGGTAGGCAGCTATACATCCTGTTTATCGAGTTATCTGTAATCTCTCCGTCAGAAAACAAAGTCATAAAAATATACACGGGAGAAATAAGCATGAATGGCTTAATTTTAATAATCACCAGAGTTGCTCCTAATTATTTTGATTTCAAGTGGGACTTATGTGGCAGCTTTTCGTATAAAATGAGCTGTTGATTAGCATCCTAAACCAGCGACAGTGCAAAAGAACAACTAATTATGACTCTTAATGAGCAGTGGGGCATTTGGTTACACGCCTGGTTGAGCTAAATTGGAATATTTCCTTAGGTGCATGCTTTGTTTAGATCCACAGTGGACAATAATGAGCTACAGTACACACTGCACAGTGTTTTCTTACCTTAATTCTCTCTGTGTTGTGTTTTCTCTGTTGAATTACACGTGGCTACTGGACAGGTATGAAATAATCAAGGTGGTGATTTTCCGGGTAGATGTAGTTGTAACAATTTAGTAACTGTTTGAAAGTTTGATCGCCGCCAGTTTTATACCAGTATTGAGTTTTATCCTCATACTGTGGTGCTAAGGAGTGCAACAGGATCAGAAATGGCTGAAGAAAAAGGTTGTGTGTCACCTCTGGATGATACTGTGTTGTACTATGCAGAGGATGCAGGGAACAAGAGTCACTCCTGTGCTTTCTTGTCCCTGTGGACACAGACTGAGTATGAAGAAGGCATGTTGTCTCCCCTTGTTTGTATTCTTTGCACAACCTATCTGTATTTTCTTCCAGTGACTCTCCCTTGCCTGTGACTTCACGTGTCTGTTTTGTAAAATTCCTTGAGGCTGAGTCCGTGGGAGTTTCCCAACACCTGACGAACACAGTCTTCGTGGACAGAGCCTTGATCGTGGTCCCTTTCGCTGAAGGTGGGTATCTGTTTTATTCCTTTGGCTGTGGTCATCTCTGAACGTACGTCATAATGCGTAGGTGTATTTGTTAGACTTGCAAACGCTAGAGACATTGAGGTTTCTGTTTTTCCTACTGCCATGAGAAAGCAGCTAAGCTTTTCAGTGCTTGGCATTTCTAGGTATGTAAAAGGGAAATGTACATTTGTGTCTGTGTCTTACAATCTAGCTGTAAACTTCTCTCTCTGTTATTTGTGTTGTGGTTTTCATAGTGGACAAGTCATTTGCAGAGAGCCCCTTCCTTGCTGGCTGAAAGTGGTCCTCTGATGCCATCAGGAGATTAGAAAAAATAATGGCACCAATCGCAAGCCCCTTCTCTCTCTTGTTCTGCAGTAAAATATTAACTTTTTTTTTCTCTCTGTTCAAGGCATCTTTTTTGAAAAAAAAAAAAAAGCCTCACAACTGCTTAATCAAATTAGGGGATTTGGGAGGGTGCAGGGAAATCTAATGTCCTCACATGTTGAAAGGATTTTTTATATTCTCAGATACAATGTGTGTCATGTAGTAGGCATTCACCAAATAAGGGATACCCCGAGCAAGTAGAATAGTGTCAAGGCAATCCAAACATATCGGAACCATTTCTGATCCTCTGTTTATATTTTAACCTTCTGCGAATTGAAATTCGGCAGCAATGTGTTTTAATGTTGTCTTAGATACTGTGAAAGCCATCAGATCCACAGTGACATAGCAGTAAATGCTCTGCACATACACATAGGTGTTTCGGTTATTGGTTGATTTGATCATGTTTTTAGGATCGGCTTGGGTTGGGCTGTGATGGTTGGATCGCAAACTCTAGTCCAGTAGGTGCAAGAAAACCAGGAAAAGAGTTAGGATGAAGCTCCTGAAAACTGGTCTGATCAGCCTAATAAGAGAAAACACCTGTGTGGATGTTGAATCCATCCCCTTCAAACACGCACACAAGTCTCCAAACTGAACTGACTTTTTTTTTCTTTTTTTTTAATGTAAATTTCTTTAGCTGGAAACGTATCACACAGCTACATTAGAGGGGAAATATGAATACTGGATCAAGATTTGGGTCTGTTTCCTTTTGTTAACACTAATCAGACTTTAAACCAATAAAAGAAGAGAAAATGTTCGGGACATCCCTACACCAGCACAAAGCATGCCAAATAGAAGAACTAATCAGCTGTGCATGCTAGACTAGATTTTTGAAGGTGTTTGCCATCATCTGAGTTTTGGCCAGCGGGTGTTGTGGCAGTTAATTCTGATTTGGCTTTTGGTCATAATAAGCACAGAAACTGCCCTCGGCATTTACTTGCTTTATTTCCCAAAGCCTTGTATTACTGTTATTACTATATTATTATTATACTGTAAATTTGCATTCCAAAACTTTCACTAACACAAGAGATAATTATGGTTTTAAGCCTCTTGATGTTGCCGTAAAAATGCATTTTTATTAACTTAATTTTTTAAATTGACCCTCTCCAAACATGACTCTGAACGAGTTGAGTGAATCTCAAGTTTAACAGTGGTGTTTCTTTTGTTGTTGTGTTTTACAGTTCTTTTTCCTGGTTCAGCCAGCCCTATTTACCAGGCCCCGCTGAAAATGCCACCAACAGTTTTGTCTTCTGCAGCCTTATCCTGTTTCTCAAGTGTCCTTTCTGTTGTGTGCGTGGGTGTGCGTGGGTGCATGTCTCCCCCCTCTCTCTCTCTCTCTCTCTCTCCCTCTCTCCCTCCCTCCCTCTCTCCTCCCTTCATAATGTAAAGAAACATGTCAGATTAAAAACTAGCCTGTTTTCAGATTGCACAGCCATGGATGATCATCTCATGATTTTTTTTTCTGTCATTTTTACCGTTTGGTTCTCTTCAGCTTTGGGAATATTTTTCTTATCACTACCTTTGCTGCCAATAGCCTGTAATTGTTCAGTGTAGATTATTGTTTATTTACTATATTTTTTGTGACATACTGTTGGCTAAAACCTGTCAGTACTGTATTTGATTAGCAGTACTTTACCTGGTTGTTAAGTGTTTTTTGTGGTGGGGTTGTATAAAAAAAACAAAAAGAGAGAGAACCCACCAGAAAAAGGCTAGAAAAGGTCAAATGAGTAAGCCTTTTCTGTTTTTTGTATTGGTAATGGTAAGTGATGTTGAAATGTACCCTTGTGTCTACACCCAAATCATGAACTTTGTTTTCTGTATCTCAATGTTTTTGTGTGCTTTATAGCGAAGCAGCCGGCGCGAGTCGCTTGTTCATAAAACATCTAATGAAAGTTGAGAGCACATCCCACGGGACAACTGGCTGTGCTTGCTTACGTTTGGTTCATGACTTAAAAAACAAGTACAGGTGATAAAATCTTGGCAGTGTTGACCACAGTGTGTATTGTGACTTTGAAACTTATAGCTGCTAATCCTACAATCATATTCACAACAAAGCAAAACAGCAACAACAACAACAAAAGTCAGGGATCAAGATTTACAGACAAGACAAAAAAGTGGATTTTTGTTTTTCATTCTTTTACTACAGTGTAGTTAGACTGAGGTGGCTTGTCTGCAAGTCTTGTCTGAGTGTTGTCGACGTCGTCTTTGAAGATGTACTGAGATGTTCTTGGTTTTTCCTCCAGGAGTCATTCCCGATGAATCTAAAGCTATGTCGCTGTTGGCTCCAGCCAATGCTGTGGCAGGAATGATGCCCGGTGGAGGCCTTCTTCCAACACCGAATCCTCTGGCATCTGTGAGTTTTTACATTTTCACATAACATATCATACAATAATATTTAACTGTTATTTGATCAGGGGAAAAAGAGAGATTTTAGGTGTTGATGTTTTTCTAAAACTGCTCCTACCTTCTCTGCAGCCATCAATCAAAATTTAAGTTGGAAATGGGCATGAATCTCCCTTATTGCAATAAACAAACACACAGCAGGCTTTTTTTCTTCTTGGTGGGGATACTTGGTAACATTTATGTCTAAAAGCACAGTAATTCATTCAAACTAAGCAAGCTGCTGGTGGTTCAGAGTTAGCAATGCTACTATTTGATCAGATTTAGCTACTGGACCACAGATTTTGACTAGCAGGTGCTTGGAGCCTGCTGAACACACTTTTCTCTGATCCATCACAAAGCCTTGGGCCCATTTGCAAGAACCCCTCTTCTTTCTAAAGCACAATTCTCTGAAAATAATAAAAACAGTACATCTGAAAGTATCCTATTAAAAAAAAATCCCCCCTCCAAAACGTTACATAAATAAAGCGTGCTATGCTTTTTACCTCTACAATATATTCTAGTGTCTATGCTCCACATTTCAGATGGGAGCGACACCATTTGGCGGTCTTGGAGCTCCTAGCATTGAGCAGATGGCTGCTATGGGAATGCCCGGACCGAACATGAACCCCCAGGTGAGGATCAGTTACCTTCATAGCGCCGTTTAAGTTCAAGAAAAAAGTTCTTAGTTCTTAAAATCATAGTAATATCCTTGTCTTCCTTTCTTTCCAGGCTCTTTCCGCAGATTTCCTGAAGCTCATGCAATCCATGGATCCCAAGTAAGAAAAGTGCAGACACAGACGGGTTGTGCAGTCCAGTCAGCATACATATTTATTTGAGCAGTGTCTAAATAATTGATGCCATTTGCAGATTGAACCTTGCAGCTGGATTGAACTTGAGTCCAGGGCTGAAGGCTGATGCATCGAATAAGGAGATTGAAGAGGCCATGAAGAGAGTCCGAGAGGCCCAGTCTCTTATTTCTGCAGCTATTGAACCAGGAAGTAAGCGCGGTTTCAAAGCACGCTTCAAATATAACTGTACCAGAAATACTTGCTTCATATAGATTACGTGTTATCGGAAATTACTTCTCAGTTTACCTGTTTATTGATGTTTAGAGAGCAGTAAGTAAATGTATAATACATGTATAACTTTGTCTTTACTGTTGCAGGTAAGAAAGATGACAAGCGCAAACATTCCCACTCCCGTTCGCGTTCACGGCGTAGACGAACCAGATCTCGTTCAAGACACAGGTAAAGATGCGTCTACGGCAATGTCGGGTGAAGCCTTTTTAGTTTCATAATTAGTATATTTTTGAATATTAATTGTTTGTAAATGTGCTGCAGACGTTCGAAGAGCAGATCTCGGCGTAGGTCTCATTCAAGGAGCAGGAGGAGGTCCAAGAGCCCACGGAGGAGGAGGTCCTACTCCCGGGATCGAAGCCGTCGCAGTAGATCTAGGTCAGCTGTTATCCTGAGGAGCAAAATGGCTCCTGTGTTTCATTTCATTCAAAGTGTGCTTGGAGACCAGAGGTTGATCATTTCAAAATTGAGCTTTATTTTTTAACGTTGGCAGTGGGCAGCTCCAGGTTTTGAGACTTTTCAGGCATGAAAATGTTTGGTAATGTTTTTGTTTGCTTTCATCTCGTACAGAGACAGGAGGAAGGAGGAGAAGTCCAAGAAAAGATCCAAGACTCCCCCCAAAAGCTACAGCAGCGCCAGGAGGTCTCGGAGCATTAATCGGTGAGTAGTCTTGAATACGGTGTGATAATATGATGAAATGCAGGTGAGCCAATTTACAGTGTGAAAGACCAGAAGCTCTAACTCTTCTATAGACAGCAGAAAATCAAGTAAGTCCTGAATAAATGATGAGGATGTTTTTATGAATGTTACTTATTTTACTCCTTTGTGTGTCTCAGGAGACACAGGCGAAGTCGCAGTGCTTCTCGCTCCCCTAAGAGAAGGGTCTCCAGGTCTCCGTCCCCCAGACGGTGAGCTTTCTCCATCTGATGTACAATGAAGTTTATTTAATTTTGAGTGCCACAGTTTAAAAATATTTTTGTTCTCTTTACAGCCACAAGAAAGAAAAAAAGAAGGACAAGGACCGTGAGAAGGAAAGGGACCGAGACAGAAGGGAGGACAGGGACCGCAGCAGAGACGAACGCGAACGCTCCAACAGTAAGAAAAAAAAGAGCAAAGACAAAGAACGAGATCGGGACCGCAAGTCCGACAGCGAGAAAGGAGATGTTAAGGTATGTAGAGCAGGCACTGTTTAGAGACAGGTGGCTGGGTGCATTACTCTGCTCGTCATTAACGTGATTAAATGCGGCACAGGTGACTCGGGACTACGATGAGGAGGAGCAGGGTTATGACAGCGAAAAAGGAGAGGAGGAGGAGGACGAGAGGAAGAGCGACTCTGACTCCATCTCGTCCCCGAAAAGCCAGGAGGAGATGGAGAGATCTGAGGGTCAAATCCCCAAAAAGTCCAAACTGAATGGAGATGATCACCACCAGGAAGACATGGAGATGAGCGACTAAAAACGTCCAAACCAGATAGCATCGTCTTTTCACTGTCCTTTTTATATTTTTAATATAGGCCACGATATGTCTGTGCCTGATCGCTCCAAGTTAAACAGATTTTGTCTTAACTGTAGAAACACTGCAAAGGAGGGTGGGCAGTGGGGTGTACGGAGGGGAGGGGGAGGCAGAACTTTTGTAAAGATATAAGAAACAATTACTAAAATATGAAGAACATGAAACCTGGTTTTAAATTGTCATTGCTGTACTTTTTAAAGATTTTGTTATTGCAGTTTGTTTGTCTTTCTGACAGTAGAATACGCAGCGTTTTCCTCTAAAAACGCAGCATCTGTAAATATTTTACTGGTCAGGACTTTGTCCTCATTCACACTGCTCGTTGTTTGCCACTCAGTTTTATTTTTTCCAAACCAACCGTTTTGCTTTAACTGTGTAACACACCCAGCTGTGTTTCATCTCTACTGACCTATTTACAACCCTTTATTATTGTACATTGTAGATTGAAATGTGTTGTGACAATGAAATATGTTGTCTGCAATAGAATTTCCAAAGGACACAAATAAAATTGGGGTAAACTGTCAAGTTGCGCCACAAGGGTCCTTATTTTGAAAAATAATTGCTACGATGGGATTTATTCTGTGGTTATGTTCTGGGTGCCTGGCAACTGTTAACCTTCACTCAGGTGTTGTCACATTATGGTTCAGTCCTAATCTCTACATTCATGAAGTTTCTTTCCACTGAAACCTGAGGGATAAACTATACATGCTTACTGTTGCCATGTACAGTGACTTTGCCTGAGAATTAAACAGCTCAGTGCAGTGCATTGTGTGTGTGTGTGTGTGTGTGAAAGAAAAGTACTAAATTAGAGGCATGCAAGCAGTGGTGTGGAGAAGTCATGAGCCAGCCAGTAATAAATGTATTTTATTTCTCTCAACCACTTACTTTGCAGTAGGGTGGGGGTGCCACAATTCATATTTGTAGATAAAGCCTTCCTCCTGCACATATTCTTTATAAGCCCCTCCCACCTCAGGTGCAAGTGCTTGTTTGTCAAAAGTAATTTAATTCTTAAACTCTTGAAACAAAGAGTAACCCTTGAAGCTTTTTTTCCCTGAACTGGTGGGTGTCTGACTGTTTTAGGCTGCGTACAGAACAAAATAACTGAATGTGCATCAGAAATGAGTGAGGATGGTCTCTGCCTATGCAGCTACCCTTGGAAAAACCTGGTAACTGTTCCAATGGTCATCAAACCACATCTTTATCGATATGTACTGAGGTGTCAACACTCACCATTAAGGGTACAGGACAGGTCATCATGTTTTACTTTATATGTCAACTTTCTCTTTTTTTTTCTGCTTTGTTTCAGAAACCACGTGAACAAAAATATTCTGAAAGGCTGCTGCGGATTCTCTTTTCTGCCCAGTCAAGCTATAAACCAAACTTCCTATCGCAGCTCCGTTTTAGTTGAACAAAAACTGAAATATTGACTATTTGACAATGTCTTGTCCCATTGTCCAGTAAAACGCAAAATAAAGACTTATAAACCCACAAAGGTTAAAAAAGAAAAAAAGAAGAGGAAGTGTAGGATGCCCCAGAACGAGCTCAGAATAAAAGGATACCCAGATGAGGTGTCGTATCCGTGCCACGCATGTTTTAATATGACCAAGATAGAAAAAACACAAGAGTGCAAACATTAGATATGTGGCTTTTTATTTCAGTACATTTTATATGAAAATAGTGTCGCAGACTTATACAACAGTTTTTGCTGTACAACTGACATTTAGACATGGATGAATCATTTCCTACAGAAAACATGTCAAATCCAATCAGCTGAATTCGGGAAGGAGCATCAAATAAATGCAAAGCATTATGTCAGTGAAGAGGCACACTTCCACTAGCTGCGCCTGCCTGTACTATGGAATGTGAAACGTCAAACTGCATTTGGTTATCATACTAAATATGCATATGTAAGCACGGTGTTTCAATGATTAGGATGCTGAACAACTCTGAGCCACCAGTACAATAGCAACATCCCACAGAAAGCTGTCTGTATCAACATTAAGAGCTCATGAACCATAGCAGCACCTACGAAGACTCCTTAGAGTTAAACCCTTCCTTCCTTCCTTCCTACAGACTGATATTGAGCTTCTTCACACAGCTGACAGGTTATTGGTTCCACACATCTCCAGGGAGTAGAAAGAAAAAAATCCAACAAAACAATTAAGAGATTCTTTTTTTTCTTGTTAAAGCAACATAAGTATGTACAAAAAAAGCAACTCCCACCATTTACAAACCAACAGTCTCAAATTATGTCACATGATGCATAAAAATAAAAAACATTACACAACTCTTCTTTTTGCAGAGGATGTCTGAAACCCATAAACACGTAGGAATAAAAAAAGAAAGTAAAAGACAAATCAATAACTGAACACGTATTTCTATAGTGTGCGGTGGAAATGCCTGATTTTTGTTAAGTGCAAGAAAAAAAAAGGGGCATGAATGCTGTACTTACTGATTCCCAGACACCTGCTCACTGTACAATCCCCAGAGTTCCTCTTTTAGCACAACTGTGCGGTTGGTTACACAGTTAAAAAAAAAAGAACAACAAAACAATCTGATGAAGTAAAAAACAAAAGGCTGGGTTAGCCTAACTTACACTGCCCCTTCGCAGTACCATTAAAATCTGCAGCATCACTACCACTGCCGCCATTAAAAGTTAATATTTCAAATGCAGGTTTAAAGATTCAGCTTCACAACATGAGTCTAAGAAGTCAGCTGGAAGGCGAGTAGGTGTAGTGGATCCAAATAGTGCCTCAAATATTCACCGACTCTGTGCCAGTAAAAATCATCGCTCACACACACACACACACACACGCACACACACGCACACACACGCACACGCACGCACACACACGTTAAAAATGTGCACAGTTAAAGTGGAATTCCACGGAAAACTGATTTTTTTAAGGACTTTTATCTACAAAACGTACTCAGCCTTATACAAAACAAACTTCTCAAAGGATTATAAAGGCCACCTTAAGAAAAAACTAATTCAATTAACCTCACATCCCAAGAATATCGTTGAGTCAAATGTCAAGCTTATTCTTGGCATTTCAAACTTACATCCAAATTAAAATAACAGACCTTTCACTTTCTTGTTTACTTAACATGGCCGTTATAATCCCCCAGCACGCCCCTGCAGGCGGTTTATCCTTCAAGCTCGGGTCCTCTACCAGAGGCCTGGGAGCTTGAGAGTCCTGCGCAGTATCTTAGCTTGTTCCCAGGACTGCACTCTTCTGGACAGAGATCTCCGATGTTATTCCCGGGATCTGCTGGAGCCACTCGCCTAGCTTGGGAGTCACCGCACCTATATTTATTTTTTATTTGTTTTTTTAAGTAACACTTTTTTAGTAATAATTCGACCCCTTTGGACATTTACATTTCATCCTTAATCATTAAATAGGAATAGTCTAGTGTGTTCTTTAATAGAGTTCTTACACAGGCCTGTAACATAGATTAGGACATAAATTATGATATGTAATTTAATACATGTAAGATCATAAAATATTAAAAAAAAAAAAGGCTGATGATTTTTCACGAGTGTTTTGAAAAGTGAGAAATTGATCTCAAAATCAATTTCAAGTGGAATTCCTCTCCAGCGTCTCTCACAGTCACTCAGTGCTTTAACTACACATCAGTTTAAAACAGTCCCTTTATGAACATTACTTACATACTTAAATACAAAGCATCAGCTGAGCTGCTGTTTTTCGTACTCGTACTGAATATACAGAAAATTCACCTGCTGTGTTGTTTCTCATATTAACTCCAATGCCCCTTCACTGATGAGATTCTCACAGTCACCTGCGCTTCCTGCCTCGGACGCTGCATCGAATCAAATCTAAAAGGTAAAGTTCAAACCTGCGACACGAGGAGATGTCGAACAACCCGCTACCTCCGATTTAAATTTAGGTGTGTTAGGCTGTCTGGTCGCCGTCTGTATTCAGAGTCGGGGCGGGCGAGGGGTAGTCGCAAAACACAGTTTTTATTCCTCATGTTTTTTGTTTTGTTTCTTAAATTCAAAAAGTACCCTCTGTAGCATAATGTTGCCTCGTTGCTTGTTTGCGGTTCAGTGTCCAGTGTGTGAGGTTAAAGGTCGGGGAAGCGGCTAGGGTCTTCTTTATAATCATTGGGAATGCTAAAAATGGATTCATCAAACTCATCGTAGCGAAACTCCTGAAACGTCACCGTGGCCGTGATCGTAGGAAACACGGGGATGTCTGCGGGGAGCCGAGAGCACAATTATATGGATGACATGAAGAACACATCACACGAAAAAGTCATGAACATCAATCAGCAGACTACTGTTTGCAACACCAGATAAAACTCTGCTTACCGAGCTTGACGGGAAAGCCAGGGGGGAGCTTCATCTGAACAAACTCCCTGAGTTTATTAAAGTGCTTGAAGGGTGCAATCACTTCCAGAACATTCAGTAACCTGAGGGACACGAGAACCCAAATCAACAAACAAAAACAAAGTCTATTTTACTAAAGCATTTAGGTCTCAATGAATGAATAATTTCCCCCTTTATCCCCACTAAACAAGCCTGAAAATACCAATAGAAAATGATGCTGCCTGCTTTTTAATAACCATCTGGAGGGCAGCTTAAATGAAGACTTACGATTCGATGCTCAGAGGGAAGACTTGACTCATGGCTATTGTGGCTTTGAAGTTTTTCTTGCTCTCCTTGCACACCAGCTCTCTTCCTAGATGAGGAGCTCTGAGACAGAAAATTTTATCCCACGATGAAGGCAGTTCAGTCAGGAAGAGCTCACAGCTCATTAATGCAGACATGGAAAACTACCAGTGTTCTTCCAGTAACTAAAACATCAACCTATGTGAATATTGCATTTGGCACACGTAGAGATTCCTGCTTTATTTATTCCCAAACACTTCAGACACCTACTTTCCATTGTCAGCCGTGATGTATTCTTCCCAGGATATAGTGTTGGGTGACGGGGGGGTTAGAGATTGCCTTCTTGCCGGCTAAAAGTCAGAAAAGAGATTAAAAAAGGTCATGGTTAGGCTAAAGTGTAAAATACTGAAAGGTCACACTTAAAAACAGTGAGTGAAACTAACAAAAAAAAAATGTTAAAACTGATCTAAGTTGTGACATACAGATGTTTTTTGTCATTACTTTTATATCAACATTAGTGTTTACCTACACACCTTTAATTTTTCCCTGCAATGACATACACGGCACATGCCACTAGAGGGCCCCAGCGCATCACTAAGCAGTATACTTTTATGCTGACATAATTAACAGCCATCCAACAACAGCAAAGTAACTTTATATAATAAGCTAAATGTTAGCATAGTATTAAAGCTAAATCAGTAATTACTAAAAGCGGGAATCGACCAAACTTAATCTAGAAAGTCCTGATTCAGTGATGTTAAATCTTTAGTTAGTTCAGCGGGTGAGCGTCACAAACGGTCACAGAGAAGAAGAAGAAGGAGAGCTGTTGATGCTGTTGTGCCGGCCTTGAAATTAGATTCTATGTTATTGTTCATGGTTGATAACAACTGTG